GGCGTCCAGGTGCCCCTAGCGCGTGTGCTCTCTCAGAAATGGCAGGACATCATTAAGGAGGTGAAGTTCCTGCAGAAGCTGCGACACCCCAACACCATCGAGTACAAGGGCTGCTACCTGCGGGAGCACACGGCCTGGGTGAGTGGAGCGGGGCGGGGGGGGGGGGGGGGGGTCGCGCGCCCCCCCACGCTCACCCCTCTTGTCCCCCCACAGCTGGTGATGGAGTACTGCCTGGGCTCTGCCTCCGACCTGCTGGAGGGTGAGTGCCGGGGCGCGGGGCCATGTGGGGGTGCGGGGGGGCTGGACCCCAGCGGGGGCTGCTCTGACCCCTCCCTCTGCCCCCAGTGCACAAGAAGCCGCTGCAGGAGGTGGAGATCGCGGCCATCACGCACGGGGCGCTGCAGGGGCTGGCTTACCTGCACTGCCACAACATGATCCACAGGTACCACCCCCCGGCCTGCCCCGTCCCCCCCCCACGGCCTGCCCGCCCCCCCCGTCCTACCTGCACTGCCACAACATGATCCACAGGTACCCCCGGCCTGCCCCATCCCCCCGTCTGCCCCCACCTCTTCCTCCCCATCCCCCTGGATGGTCCCCCTCTCTTCCCATCCCACCCCTGCCTCAATACCCCCGGTCCGTCCCTGTTGCCTCCCACCGCTGGGGTTGGCTCCCTCCTGCCTCCCAGTCTGTCCCTGTTCCCCCCTCCAGGGCTGGGTGTCCAGGTGCTGAGCGCTCGCCCCAGGCGGGGGGCGTCCATGGGGCTCTCCCCAGGCGGGGGGGGGGGAGGCGGGGGCGTCCATGGGGCTGTCCGAGCTCTGAGCTCTCTCTCTCCCTGTCCCCGCAGGGACGTGAAGGCTGGGAACATCCTGCTGACGGAGCCGGGGCAGGTGAAACTCGGGGACTTTGGCTCAGCGTCGATCATTGCCCCTGCCAACTCCTTCGTGGGCACGCCGTACTGGTGAGGGGCCAGGCCTTGGGGGCTGGGGGAAGGGCCCTGAGAGCTCACCCCATCCCAACTCCTTCATGGGCACGCCGTACCGGTGAGGGGCCGGGCCTGGGGGGGGCCCGGGAGCTCACCCCGTCCCAACTCCTTTGTGGGCACGCCGTACCGGTGAGGGGCCGGGCCTGGGGGAGGGGCCCGGAGAGCTCACCCCACCAACTTCTTCATGGGCACGCCGTACTGGTGAGGGGCCGGGCCTGGGGGGAGCTGGGGGGGG